ATCTCCACGACTTCGCGGCCAACGTCGTCTATGGCACTCGTCATAGCATGAGCGTCCTCGAACGATCGACCGAAGATGTCGATGATCAGCTCTTCGATCTCAGTGAAGGAGTGTTTATCATCGTTCCAAATGACGACACAGTATTGCTGTTTCTGCATCGGGTCCCCCGTGGGCTGCAAGTGGAGATCAGCCTCACTGTTGGGTACAGTGGTATCGTCAGGTGAATAATCGAGGGTCTCGATGGCGAAATCGAGCGCGCAAGCCACTGTCTTGGACATGCTCTCCCTCAGTTCTGAGGGTACGGACGTGCGATATGGATAGTCCTGTACAGGTGGCATGTTACGGCCCAGGAGAATATTTGGATGTCGCTCGTAAGGATTGGGGTCAGAAAATGGTAGTGCGTGGGATGGGTGATGAGGACAGTTGAGTGGGACTCGCCAGGCCTCTGGGTCGCCGCAGTCGCAACACCCGCCTGACTGCTGGGCGATGAAGAAACCGACATTGTGACCCGTGTGGTCGGTAGCGTGAAAACAGCGAGAGCACATTACGCATGTATCATCGAGACAACAGTCCCTACATTAACCTCGGTTAGCCTGCAGGTGTAAAGACGACGAAGATAAGTAGGGGCATGATGCAGCTATCTTATTGTCCGGACAGCTTGAACCAGGGCCACCAGGAATGAATGCGCGGCAAACACGTCTTACGCGGCAATTATAGGAAACGTAAACTCACTTGCAGCGAAAGCAGCTCTCCCCTTTTCTGAATATCCGGGGGCACGGACGTCCCTGCACAGGTGAGTCCTCATTGCCTGCACCCGCAAAACGTTGCGCGATCTGCACCTCGCTGAGCATCCTGTTCAAAGGCAAGCTGGAATTGGAGTTGGGAAGGAATAAATGCGAATAAGATCCCCAGAATGAATCATAGAGCTCTGACAGAATCTCTGCACGAGTAGCGGGCGTGAAGAGGTACTTTCTAGAGGCCGGCATTGTCTCGAGAGTAGAACGGAGGCGGTTGTCGCCACCGCGGTCGCGGGGTGAGCTGCCTAATCCTTTGAGCAGAAAGGAGGGTAGTCCAGACATGAGCGGACAGGGCGGGAAAGACTAGAGGAGGAGGCGGAGTTGAGATGAGGAGAGCTGATGGTCATATATGACATGCAAGTGGACGACGATGCGACGCGCGGCACGCGAGTACAGTACATTCATCTTCCGCACTATCGTCATTACACCGCAATCTCCTTGGTGTGTATCCGAGCATGTCATCCACCTCATCGACTTCTTCTGCTCTTGCACCATTGGCGGATCCGCCCACTCGTCTGGTAGATGGCGCAGCTATGGATTACTTCATGATTGAGTGCGTTGAGGTGCTTCGCAACTCCGCACGCGTCGCTACGGCTCGTGCGAAGAAGATCGAGGACGAGATGATCGACGCGGGTCTCATACCCCCTCCTCCGCCACCTGCCGCACATTTGAAAAAGGGAAATCTGCGGGATTCTGTCGCGAGTTCTTCTGGTGCAGATAAAACTTTGTTGGACGAAGAGGAAGAGGACTTGCGTGTAAGGTTGGAAGCAATAGGCCTGCATGTGGGTATGAACGTGACGGAACGGTGTGTGCTCATAAGGCTTGCCCGAATCAAACCTGACCTGCTCTTAGGCTTTGCCACGATAGGCCTTTGTTCTCGGATACATTGGATACTATCAAGTTTATTTGCAAGGATTTGTGGGCGACGTGCTGGGACAAACAAGTAGATAATCTGCGGACAAATCATAGAGTACGCTTTTTTGTCGTTGCGGGATGCATGAACTTAACGTCATGAAAGGGCGTGTACGTACTGCAGGACAACGCATTTAGGCCCGTTGCACATATATCTTCTTGGGAGAGCAGGGCTGACGCAACACGCCGAGCAAAGCTAGTGAGTCGAGTTCCAGACTTCCTCTCGATTGCTCCGACCTTTTCCACAGTACGTCTCCTTACCCGTAGGGATTATTCGAGGCTCTCTACTCCGATTGGGCTTGCAAGGGACGGTTATACCGGAGATCAACCTGCCACAATGTGAATACAGCCAACTTTGCGAGACTGACAAGAATTCTGACGGTCTTGCAGGTACTTTCCAAGTCAAGCTACCGAAAGGCTCATGATTTTATCAATGCTTCGATTTTTTTTCCATCTCTTGCAACATCTCATGTATACACAATTTCGTCCCATGAACTGTTGATGAAGCATGACATATGAGCTGCTTTCGCAGTCCACGTAGGGATTAGGATGGTGCAGCAACCTTCGAAGAGAAATGCGACAAGCATCCTGAATACCCCACTTCAACCGGGTCGGTGACTAACCATGGTAATCTCGTCATCCATTTCGCCGTAATGTGACGCATTTCCATCAACGGATGCCTGAAGTAGAGTATGAGCGTCTGCATGGTCTTATAATGCTGACGGATTCAACCCCGAGAACCAATAGAATGTACGGCCATGGCAAGAGCATTCACCCACGAGCGTCGTCTGGCTACCAGTTGGTAAGCAGCTACGGTCGTTGGTATACCAAAGGCCTTAAAACCCGGCTCTGAGCCCAAAATGCCATCTCGGATTGGTGAGAAGTCAATGTACGCGAGATCGAAGCTATGCGTTTCATACAAGTCGCCCGGACCATCGAAAACTGCTTGTTTCCATGTCTCTCCAGACACTGTTTTATTTCCGTCGCGGCTAGCCCAGTGACCACGAAGCCACAGGTCAAAAGCCGAGAACAGCCGTTGATAGTAGAGACGGGGATCTACTTGCATCTTGTATCGTCTCTTGTGGGGAAAATCGTACGTCCTGTGCGCCGAGCCTTCTTGCGTCACTCTACTTCGACGACCCGGAGTGAGTACAGGTTAAGCTGGGGACCGGAGTAAGTGGAGAGACGGTATGTTGACAGATTGGCCAGATCTTGATCCAACCAGTGTCGAGCTCTAGCGCTAGGCAGCAGGTTGTTCGACAGAGGGAGTTTATCAGGACAGGAGTGAAGATAGAAAAAAGCTTGGGGGGCCTGAGGCCGCTTACTACGTTAGAGTCCTAGGAACACCGTGACCGTTCCGGACATGTGCGCCCGCTTCGGCTTCTTCTCTTACCGACATGGGTGTCATGCGTTAGAGGCCTGCGTATGCACATCGAGCTTGCACTCGCTCTATCACCATGTCTGACCGCCTTGCGCAAATCTCTGGCCATCTAAGTAACAATTATGGGCGGGGGCTTCTCAGCAGAGAGGTTGCCATCATCACTGGTGCGATCGTGTGCTTCATGTTAGTACGGCCGGAGTGTTCATGACGTTGGAGTGTCGTAGGGGCCGCTCAGGTGTGTTTTCTAGACTTCCACGGAATGGGACGGTATTAAATGCATTTGTAGGGCATTGGGCGCAGCTGTGCTCTGTTGTTCGCTAAGGAAGGAGCCAAGGTCGTTGTTAGCGAGTGAGCTTAATCAGTTCATCTTTGCGAGCTTACATTGACATACGCCAGTCTCGACGAAAAGAAAGCGCAGCTTGTCGTCGACGAGATAAAGGCAGTAGGTGGCGATGCCTTCGCCGTTGGGGGTGATGTTAGCGCAGACGACTTTCCACAGCGCATCGTCGACGCAACAATTAAGTTGGTACCTTCATTATTAGCCATTATTTTGCGCTCAGGGCCGAGTAGAAAGTATGGAAAGATCAACCACATTGTGAACAACGCTGGTTTCACGTATGATCGTATGCTGCACACTATGCCCGACGACGCCTGGGACGTGATTATGAAAGTCCACGTCCGAGCGCCCTTCCGTCTGATCCGCGCGGCTGCCCCCTATATGCGCTTGAAGGTGTGAATGAGGCCACCCGTGCTGCATAGTACCATCTAAACACTGCCACTCAGGGCGCGGACCAGCGCGAGAACAGGTCGATAGTCAACGTGTCTTCCACGTCCGGCTTGCACGGCAATGTCGGCCAAGCCAACTACGCCGCCGCGAAGTCAGCTATCACTGGTTTCACTCGAACCATCGCGAAGGAGTGGGGTGTATTCGGTGTACGGGCTAACACTGTGGCCTTCGGGTATATTATGACACGGTGCGCTCGAAGTCTTTTGAGATATCTATTCGGCTGACTTCTGACCGTGAGTCTCACTGCCGCGAAGGAAGATGGCGCGTTCATTGAAGTGGACGGCAAGAAGGTTGCCCTTGGTATACCGGGACGCAAGCAGCCTTCGTCGGCGGATGTTGCTGCCAATGCCAAGCTGTATCCGGACATTCCACTTGCACGTCCAGGCGTACCCGATGAGGCTGCTGCCGCGGTTCTCTTGTATGCTCTAACCCGATTAATGGGTGTTCTTTTGCTCACGCTCGTGCAGCCTTGTGTCACCGCTTGCATCGTATGTGACCGGACACACACTGGAGGTGACAGGCGGTCGCTGAAAAAGAGGGGCGCTGGAGAGGCAACTATGCGAAGGACGGCTCTAGTCCCGTTTGGATAATTCCATACATGTCTCTAGTGTGTGATATAACAAAACACTAGCGCTGCACATTTTTCAAGACTGACAAGTTCTTTTGCCACCACTAGCACGTGTACTGCCCTAGTCAAGGATGTACTGTACAAAGGTCTAGAGTCGCCTGTCAAACAGTTCCGATCGTAAGATATTAATATTATCATTGATGCTTACGATTAGCAGCTATAACGACACCCTGCTTCCTCAGTGTTCGGTTATGCAATCGACACTTGGGAGCTGGTTGTTGCAGCCGCGGGGCTAACCTTGAGCTAGAACCTATGGTTTCCTAGGTACAAAAATGCCACTACTGACACCTGATTGGGTCAAAACAGCAAGGTCACCAAGTCGGTGCTTAACCAGGTTCGACACGCGTTGAGACAGTTGATGGCTCACTCACGACCCAGGTGATGCGCACGCCAACAGTTTGACATGTCGATAGAGGGCATTGCAGATAACTGTTCAGTCTTGACATATAGAAGCCATGACAACACTGTAAATTGGGAGTAGCAAAAGGCTAACCTGGGCTCAACCGGGAATTGAACCCGGGACCTCCTGCATAATATCGCCTAACGGCGGGATATCCACCCGAAGCAGGAATCATACTACTAGACCATTGAGCCGATGACGGCGTTCACAAAAATAGCGCAATACGGTAAGAGGATGTTGAAGGGACCTCCAGAATATCTCACAGGAATCCACCACTGCTTCCCATACCAAATCTGTCTGACAAGCCCTTTGCATCGCTGATGAGTTTCCGGCGGTCTCGTTCGTCCATTAACCGACCACCAGTTGCCATGTCGCGAGAATGATCCCAGATTGCGGGCGGGGCTTCGTTAGGCTCTTTGGCCTTGTGTGCTTCGCGATCTGCGTGCGCGTCCACCAATGACGGACCACGATGTTTCCTCTGTGATTGCGATGAGAGAAGTAAAAGCATAATAGTCGTTTAAACGCACTGTATGTTCATCAACCTGCTGCCTCAGCTCTAAATCACGCCTTCTTCGCTTTTGCATTTCCTCAGCGGATTCTGAGTCGAAGTCTTCCTCGGCATTTTCCTTGCGACGTCGTTTACCCATGACCTCATCGGCCAGGCGCTGCTGTCGCTCCGCTGGCGTCTCTGTCCACAAAGTGACGTCGGCAGTCCGGGACGGAGCAGTCGACTTTGAAAACTGGCGAGGCTTGTTCATGCGTGTCGGGTCAATCTCTAGAATGAATGGAAGCATCAGTACCACAATACATCAAGGGAATAACGAACAGATGGGTAGGCGCGTAATATTACAAGATACCTACTACTGAGCAAATCGGACGACGATGGTGGGGCTAACATCCACTCTTCCCGTTTCAATACCTTTGGCTTGATCGCATCCTATGTCGTGTCTTCGTATGAGTTCTACATCGCCTGCATGAACGCAGAATATGCGCAAGTTGATAGCATAACGACGCACCTCGATCGCTCTCCGTCTTCGCTCCTCGGCTTCCACGAACTCACGGACAGCGTCTCGTTTCCTGGGTTCATAACCGGGTGGTAAAGGTACTGGACCAATTTCGTCTTCCAAATCATCTGTGTCCAAATTGGTCGACGGGACAAGCGCTGGTCCGAGCACACGCTTTCTTGGTTCATGCTCCGAAGTTCTCAAAGCAGCTAGCCCTGGCGGGAGGGCAGGTGCATAGTCATCTTCATCGTCACCCTGATCAACTTCAGCGGCTGCAGCGGACCCAAAGGGGTCCGCGTCTGGAGTAGTCGAGTGACCAGGCGCCAGGGACAGCGATGGCGGTATCTGAGGACCCATTGCAACTGGAATCTCAGGACCGATGGTAGGGCCGGATTCAGGAGATCCCGACGGTGACCGGTGCGCCTGGCGTAGATGGGCAGGTATCTCAGGACCGATGGGTGCCATGAGAAAGTGTAGTGACACAATGGTGGTAAGAAGTCAACCTCGGTTTGCTGTCCCTCGACTTGTAGCAAGCCACCTTTGACTCTCACGCTGGAGACTCGGGGTGCTGGTTCTTCAACATCCTCTATCGCGCGCCACATCGACCTCCCGCCGTGACCAGTCAGGCTAGTCAGGTGCTGCGCTCCTCGCCGTCTTCGTCCGTGTGTTTCGAATTTAATCGGGAGCCTGGCAATATCGAGCCGTCATCTCGACTCGACTTGGAAGCGCCTACGGAGTCAGTGTCAAGTTCAGCGGCTTCCGGACAAGTTTTTCGAGCTCTGTAAGGCGGCCGTTTGCTCTCTACGCGCTGTGTGCCCAACCCTCAGTCTTCCCCATCTGTTCTCGTTCATGTCCCTCTTAGTGACTGGGATGGACGATTACGATTTCGCCGCACTTCCCATTGCTGGACCACCGGCAGCAGCTTTGTCTGCGCTGACGAAAGAGCAAATATTCTTTCTCCGGGACCTACCGAAGGCCGAGCTCCATGCCCACCTGAATGGCTCTATTCCCCTTCCCGTCCTTCAAGAGCTTGCGCGTGACTACTCAGCGAAAGACGCAACGAGTATCGATGCGACTATCACACGCCTTCGCAGCGGGGTGCAGTTGGACGCTCTTGAGGATTTCTTCGGGCTTTTCCCCGCAATTTATGCTCTGACTTCCGCCCGCGAACCTCTCGCGTGTGCTACTCGTGGCGTGCTTGAACATTTCCTAGGTGGCAAGCAGCCGCAGGCGGCATATCTCGAGCTTCGCACGACGCCCAAGGCCACTGTTCACATGAACCGGCGCGGATACCTCGAGACCGTACTGGATGAGATCGAAAAATATTCCGCAGAAAAAGTAGCGCTCATTGTCAGTCTTGATCGCACGATGGATGCCGCAACAGCTAGAGAGGTGGTCGAACTTGCCATCGACTTCAAAAAGGGCGGCAGACGCGTCGTCGCAGTGGATCTATGCGGGAACCCCATGGTAAGCGACAATTTCTAGCATACGATGGCAATTTACTAAAAAAAAGCATCATTCCAGGCAGGCGACATGAAAACATTTAAACAGTACTTTGAGGATGCTAAGAAAGCTGGTCTGGGCGTCACCTTACACATTGCTGAGGTACTCGTGTTTGTCAGTGTCATGTGGGTAGATTTCCTCCTAACCATTGGCGCAGACGGAGACGAACAGTATTGATGACACAGTAACGCTACTAAGTTGCGGGCCAAACCGTCTTGGTCACGCCACGTTCTTAAACGAAGAGGCACAGAGGATCGTTTGCGAGCGTAATATCTGCGTCGAAATCTGTCTGACATCGAACCTGCTGTAAGGTTTCTGAGCATATTCAATGGCCGCTCTAATACGCTGTTCTTAGGTGCAAAACAGTGAAGTCTCTCGACGACCATCACATGCACCATTACCTTCGCGAAAACCACCCAGTCGCGATCTGCGTAAGTGCCAAGCCTGACTTGTATGTGCTGTGCGAGCTAACTAAGCTTAGACGGACGACATCCTGCCGTTCCGCAACTCGCTCCTGGGCGAGTACGCTCTCTTGCTCGCCCCAAAGCCGCATGGGCTCGGCTTCTCAGAGGAGGAAGTGAGACGAATAGCAGTGGCAGGAATGAATTCTCGTTTCGGTGCAGACAAGACATGATTTTTTTCTCGTTCTGAGAGAGTTACCTCAAGTCCCCGCTCATCCTAACCACCCAGTAACCTTACCATACTCTGCGATGGACTACGCTGGTCAGAGACAGTTCACTACGCCGCGCGAAACTTCTTCCCTGTGTGTTAGCCAAGTATGTGGCCCTAACGCTGAACCAATCCTCCGTGACTTCGCCACGTCTACGTCGCGTCCTGTGCAGGGGAAAGGCGGCCCGAAAGATCCGCACGTGCGCTAGGTGGTCCGTGCGCATGCTTCGACCGCATAAAGCTCCGCACATCGGGATAGCTGATCTTTATCTTTGTGCTCGGGCATGTACTGTCGCCAGTGAGGTCTTTACCGAGGCACAGTCTTTTGCTGATTGCAAATTACACATCCGAACACGTCTGTTGGCTCTGGCCTTCAGCAATTTTTGGAAACCTTGTCCTTTGTGGCTTCCTATGATGGCTCGAGGAGCTTGAGGAGTGTCTAAGGCAAATAATAATTATCAGTTTTGTAGACTCCTGTTCGCAATGGATATATCTCTTAACTATGAATTCTTACTCTAATGTGTGCAAGTGATTCACAATATGAAGTTGATCACCATTGTATGTTTCATGCAAGGTAGTTGGCACAGAGACTGAGGTACCACAACCAAAGCACCAATGGGTCTGCTATTGCATATAGTACCAAATTAAAATGTAAGGCAACTAAGTGTCCGCAAAATAGAAGAGGGGTGTGAGCAGGAGTTAAATTTGGCGGCACAAGAAGTCCATGAGTAACCTCCACTCGATCTCGCATCTCAGGACTTGGCCATCCAATGATTGAACCATCCGACTCAGTAACGTTCAGAACCTGGCGGCGGGTATCCGCGACCAGGCCCATAACCCTTCTGGTAGAGCTGCTGGCCGCTGATACCACCAACGAGGCTGGCAGGAGCACCATGGTACGCGCTCGCGCTGTCCTCCGTGTATGGGTCCAAGTCTTGACCTGCCAGCAAAGGGTCCTTGACTTCCCACACAGCTGCCTTTGATCCCACAGAGAACTCGAGATCCTCGCGCTACGGACGAATGTGCATAAGTAAATGCGATCCGATGATGATGAGATGAACACAGACAGTAATCGAATCCCAGTATTTATACACCATCATCACGCTCAGCAACATGCATAGCGTGAAAAAGAAAAGGCCGTCAATGTAATGCTTGATTGCGTTGCAGATGGTGTCCGAGAAGGCGAAGAGGATGACTTGAGCGATGGTGAATGCGCCGGCACCGAAGACGATGTCGCCGATAGGCCAGCGGTCCTCCAGTGTACGGAACACCAAGATGAGCTGCGAGATCACGTAGATGACGACGCAGACGAGCGGCCATAGGAGATAAACGATCCAGAGACCGGTACCCTTCGTATTGGAGAAGCCAGCAAAACCCTTGAAGGTGGCAATGGCAACGAAAAAGCTGACACCCCAAACGACAAGGCAGGCGATCCGTAGAGCCTGCGACCTACTGTCAGGGAAAACATAATAAAAATCCGTTGGAAGGCGTACCCAGAGCGACAGCGGTGTTCCATCCTCTGCAAACTGGAATCCAACAAAGCCATTGATAAGTAAGCAGCAGTATGCAGCTGCCACCAGGCCCGTGTAAACTGCAGCGAACCACTGAAGGTACGTTATCAGGTCACTAGGAGGGATTTACCCGCAGAGAATAGCGAAGACGAACAGAGTATGCGGGATTGGCCGTCGGAATGATGTTCGAATCAAGGAAAATGGCGAGGAGTTCAATAATAGCGTAGAGGTAGAAGAACAACACGATCTCTTTGCGACCTTCGCACAGTGGACGTCAACATGTCGTGTAAAAGCGACAATTTAGTTCTTACTCACCTACGGCAGTGTACTTGCTTCGTATGTGGTAGATCATGATTGCAGTCATGATGATGGCGACGATGTGGACGAAGCATGTGGCTTGGTAAAGATGGACGTCAGACATTAAACACACGTCGATCATAGGACAGGGACGCACAGGGCTGAAAGATGAGCGTCCCTCCAAGATCCACATTTCGACTGTAGCAGTTT